CTTAAGCTTCACCTTCTGCTCCTCGTTCTCCACAATTCCCTTTCTCTTCTTCAGCTCAGTCTCAATGTACTTCATCCTAAACAGCACCACACGAGAGACACACAGTATTTAACTCTGTTTTTCTGTACTCTGTCCCAGCACTGCTGAGCACAGCTGCACCTGATAGCTAGGAGAGAGGAATGAATCATCTCTCCAAACCAACTCAGCTAACATCAACTGCAAGAAGCAATTGTCCAAGAAATTATCAGATCCTCCAAGCTCTTTCACAACCAGCAGGGAAGGCTCCCACTGGTATTTAATGCTAAGCTAGCTGGTTGGCACCTCCCATCTTTGCCTGCGAAAAAGCCTTCTCAAGTCTGGCAGACAGAAGGTGAAAGGGCAAGTGAAAGTTTCAGTGAGAACCAGGAAGATGTTCTGGGGCTACCCAGTATCCGAGACAGAAAAAAATAAATTGTGAGGGGACACCCAACTCCCAAATTCCACATCTCAGACACGACGCAGCACAACTCACATGTCGGCATCTTCATCCCGCCTGTTGGTTTCAGCTGAGAAGGAAGTTCCCAAGTTTAGATCTTCCTCTTCATTAATCCTAAATGGAAACCACAATGTTTACAGGTTTCTGCGGTTTTTGTTTGGTTGGTTTTTTTAAACTCATTTGACAAGTTAGAGTAACAGGAACTGGCCAAACTGCACTATGTTAAACTCTTCAAAGCGACACAACATCTGGTTACTTCATTACTCGCTGCCATTTAATATTAGTCCAGGGAAGGATCTTCAGAGCTCATACGCACCCACCTGTCCTTGCCTCTTTCCTTCAGCTTCTTCATGTCCACCATTCCCCCAGATTTTATCTTAAATGGGTCATCCTGTAAAAGAAGAAATAATAAGAAACCCTGAAGCTTCCCTCTAGTTTAATGCTAGTCTTTGAAATCTGGATAAAACCACAGAAAACATTTAGGTATTGATCTGTGACATCAGTCCTACCCCCGGCCAGACTCCCACAGTGATCGGCTGCACCACACTGATATTCTCACATCATTACATCTTAGCGCCGAGGTGATGGAAGTGTCGCAACACTTACCACAAGCGTTGCTTCTTCTTGCAACTTCTCTCCCACAAGCAGAGCTACAGCGCTAGTCGAGCAGATAAAGAAAGTAAATAAAATTCAGTGGAAGGAAACACATTTTCCCCACAACACTGCATTTATTTATCCTTCTCTAAATCTAGCAGATGGTCTCACACACTGTATTAACACTAAATTGTCAACGTTCCTAATGCCTCCGCATGGATACAGGAGCTGTTACTGTTCTGGGGAGATGAGAAGTTAGGGCAGATTTTAGTGCCTTACAGTGAGTCACGAAAATAAGGAGCGCAGTTCACTGCTGGTGCCCATTTCAACCAGCTCATCGACGGCAGTAGGGGAGAGGGGAATTAGGATGGAGGAGGTGTGAAAGCATCCAATTTAAACCATGTGCGCAGTACAGAAGTAGTTTGATGAAAACACGTTGCATGGGAAATCCCAGTCGCGATCTTTTTGTTCATGGCTGGGAGACAGAGCAGACTTGACACACTGCAAACGGACACCGTGCGCCCGTACCAAACCCCCCCTCTTTTCCACCCTTAGGCTTTAACATAGATACTCCTCTATGAAGGACATGGTTTTGGCACTACCCGACACGTGACGGGTTCTACTGAAAGGAGGCACATGACAAGAGAGACATTTACTGTTTCATTACACCAGCGGACAAAACACAACTTCACATCCCCGGTGCCACATCCCTTACCTCACCCCATTGGGTCGCTTTCTGAGGCTCTGAACTTCTTTGGCTTCCTCAACTTTTAACCTGAAGAAAAAACATTTGACTTAATACTTGATGCTTTGCTTTTAATTAATTTATTTTCTTTTCTGCAGTTAACATGGAATCTTCTAGACAGAGTTTGCCCTGCACTTCTGCACATCAGTGCCCACTTTTCCAGGTACAGATTGGATAGACATTTTCTATTTTCCTTTATTTAAGCAATCCCATTTATTTAAGCAATTGGAGAAGACCCACGTGGCATCTGCTGGGTACATCCTTTCGACACGTCTCCCCTCAGCTGCGGAAAGAAGCACCCAAATGCTGAAAGGCTTTAATATGAACCAATATCAGAAGAAGGAGCCAAGCATCACTGGGCTTAAGCCCATGAAGATCTCTGGACAATATTCTCCACAGAGGGTGGTAAAACAGAGGGTCACTAAGTAAGATGAATTAATGTGGGGCACCTTTACTCCTTCGACAACTGACACTAGCTGATAAAATAATACGGCCACTGCTCAGGAGAAGGGGGAACTAACGAAACATTCAATTTACAGCAAAATTAGCAGCAGCTCTCAAGTGAATATAATGGAGCTGAATGGCTGTCAAGACACATCAGTGCGTGAGTGACTCAGAAGAAAGTTTATGGCATACTTAAATATCAATTCTCCATATCTAGACTGCCACGCTTTCTTAATTTCTTCAGATAGTTGGTCTTTTCCTAATTATGCACCTCGTTCAACATCTGCCATGAACTATGTGTCATAAAATATTTTTCGGAGAGGAAAATACTAACAAGAAAGATTCTTCGTGGAAAGTAGGGATCTGAAAACCAAACGGGCCACCTGCGAGCGCTGATTTCCAACAGGCTGCCACGGAAAAGCAGCAAATGTTGGGAATCGCGCGCAAGGCCAGCAGGAGGGCAGGCACCGCGCAGAAAGCGCGGGTCCGTGCGGGCCCGCTGAGCCCGAG